TAGAGGAATTCTTCGAAGTGGTTGTTTCTGTGCAGTCTGTGCCGAGGTTCTATAATGAGGACATCATCCAAATTAGGTTGGTTATAACTCATGCCTGTCCCACCTGGGAGTGGGCTGACACCTCTTGAAATTGCAGTACCTACAGAACAGAGTACTATGCACTATTGGAAATCCTGACACGTGTACACCAGTCCATAAGTTGCGTGTTGCTTTAAAAATTTTCTTATGTATATGGCTGTATAACTAAATTATGCAGGACACAAGCATATTAAATCCTAAACCATGTGAATCCAAATGTATATGGTATTGGACAAGGAAAAGCCAGGCACAGGAAGTATAAGAGGTTTAAACTTGCCGGTGGTCACTGCTACAACCGTTAAGCTGGTTAACTGCAGTTTCAGAGTAGTTGTATAAGTTAAGGCGTAACCTGCTGCACAAGCCTACATTGGCAAGAAACCTCCGTATACCTTGTATAAATGTTACTTATTACAGTGCAGTGAAAAATGGTGCACAGTGTACATAGTGACCTCGACGCCATGACAGCGCAGATATACACGTGTTGAAACTGCAGTGCAACAAACATAACGCCAACGTAGAAACACCGACCCCTCCTTTGGCAAAGAGGAAGCCCCATTTTGAAACACATACATGTCTAGGAGAGCATAAAAATTTTGGTCAGGGATCTCAAGGACACTGAAGCCAGTAATAACACTGCTGGAAGAGGCCAGCAGCCATTTAACCAACCTACCAACTGAGCAGACAGGATTAACTGTGCTGGTGAAGACCAGCAGCAATTTAACTGACCAAACAACTGAGTCGACAGTGTCATGAGTCAGATGTTACCAGTCCAGATTCATGACTTCTGTTGTTAGATTACCACAGTGAAGCAATGACTAGCGAAGGCATAGAAGGCTTAGTGTTTACAGTAGTGATTTGTAGAGTGTGTAGTTTAGGGAAAGTGTTATAATTATTTGTAGTTACGAGTTGTAAACATTCAGTAAATTCAGTTACCAGTCCAAACCCCATGTCTGTTTACTAGTATTTGGCAGTGTTATAATGTTAGACGTTTCACTGTGGAATCAGCTGTTGTGTATTTGTGTATGCTATCCTTTGTTCTGCATATGTATCACATATAACAGATGTATCTTGTGGAAGAACCCTCTTTTGTTTATAACTTTACAGCACTGTGTTGATGCACTGAGAATAGGAAATTCTGCGGATATTAAGGGTGAAGAAATTGCATCTGCCATGTGCAGTGACGATGTTTATACACCATCAGCTTATTCCAGAAATGAGGTTGAACCCCAGGTGAGCCCTTATGATATAATGTTAGGTGTGAAATCAGGTGTTTTTATTACTTTTTTGTTTTGCATATATATTGATGTAACAATAACAGATTTACCTTTCATTTATAACTTTACAGCAGAACATTGATGCATTCAGAATAGAAGATGCTGTGGTAATTGTGGGTGAAAAAATTTCCACTGACATGCAAACTGAGGAGGTTTATATGCCATCAGCATTTTCCATAAGTGAGGCTGAGCCCAGGGTGGGCCTTGTTTGCAGAGGAAATTTGTTGTGCTGGTTCCTGTAGATGTGTGTGAATAGGAATTGCAGGTACCATTTTGTCCCTGTCAAGATAAGTTGGTCCATTTCCTGTTGTTGGAGGTGGGGATAAGAGGAGGCTGTCAGATTATCCTTTCCATCATGTTACCTTATACAGTTTTCACATGCCATTCTATAATCACCCCTTTTTGCTCCTTTCGCTGGCCACCTGGGATGATGAACATCTGTAGCAGCCTGTTTATCTCATCCATTCACTTGTCCATGTTTGATATGATGAATACTGCTTTTTTTTATTAGTTTTCATAGAAGTTTCATTTATTGTTATTGATATAATCTCTCACTCTAAGAGAAGAATAAATATTGAGATTGTTTCAGAACAGGGTCTGTAGTGAGCATTTGGACATGTGGGAGAACAGGACGGTACAGTGGGGAAACCTGCATAATGGGGAGGTTGTTCTTATCAACAGTCAAGGGAGATGGTACAGCTGGTTCATGCAGCATGTGAGAAATGAGAAATGCTCACAGAGTATTCATCAGAACCGGTGAAGAGAAGAGTCCATTTGTGACATCTCCCTGAATATAAAAATTTTCCCCGTGCTTAATTAATTAAGCACTGTGCCATGAAGACATATGGAGGACTGGGGGTATAGCTCCACCATTCTTGACCTTGGCACTAGATGGAGGTGAGTGCCCAGCTTCACTCCCCGGCTGCTTTACCCCTGGGGAAAGAGCCATCAGTTCCCTTTGGATAGGAGGCTTGATGGTCCACAGAGCTGCTCTTGGTGCCACAGAGAAGAGAAAGACCTCCGTTTGTTAGGAATCAAACAGCCTACAGACCATCGCTATACAAACTGAGTTATCCAAATTCCTCTCTGAAGATAGGACAGCAGTATTAAAATAGATAAAATGAAACCTCGATTCATCGTTTTCATTGGGGATCCTGAAAAGATAATGGTAGATGCAGGGGCCTATGTAAAATTAATAAAAAGGCCACATTTACCTTTAAATCAGAAAACGTTCACAAATGATGTTATTTCTGCCGTCAAGTCCAACTTGCATTACTTCTTATTAAAAAAGTCATTAGCCCCTTTCCTTTTCAAACTGAATAATAACCTTACAATATTAACAGTGTTTGCTTGGTTTCTGCTGCTGTTGTGAGCAAACATGAACACTCTCATTGGCTCAAACTTACGAATTGCTTCCATAAAACTCGGCCCTGCTTCGGACTCAGCTTCATCATCGTCATTACCACCATCACCTTGCCCCTTCTCCACGCAACTTCCACTTCCCACCACATCACACATTTCTTCCATACACAGCACACCACACATTGCCAGGTTCATGACCTCCTTATCCACAGACATGTAGGCGTCAAAGTCTGCTTGGGATACTATTTTTAGTAGCATTTTTAATGATACATTATGAAACTCCATATTGAAGACTAGAGTTAAAGGTGTAATAGGTGCAAGAAAGAACTTACCGCAGTGTAACAGCGAGTCTTTCTCCTGCCGGTGTACTTCTCATAATGGTATCGAGGCATTGGATTTTGTTTCTTAAAATGTGAGCCATCGTATCAAAGGAAGAAATTAACATTTTAAATTATTGAAAAATATGCCCTCATATTGTCTAAGCTCTGTAAATAAATTATGAAAATGTCCATTTTGTGTTCTATTTTGTAATATTGGATGTATCCAGAATTTTCAAAATTTCCTTCGCCTTCACCTCCTTCTACACAACTGGAGGAGCAACATTACTACAACATTGCTTCACTGACAAATAATGTTGCTATCATGAGAACTGCAAACTGCTGTTGTGAGAGCTGCAAAATGCTGTCGACATGCAGCGTTTAAAAACTGCAAGTTAACTACACATTAGGCTATGCCATAGCTCAAGCAGTTAGTTGCTGGCTTCCCACCGGGGCACTGCGGGTTTCATCCCAGGTCTGGTCAAGTGGGATTTGTGGTGGACAAAGTGGCGCTGGGGCGGGTTTTCTCCGAATACTTCGGTTTCCCCTGCCAATCAGTGACCGCCGTGCCGAATGGACCCAGCTGGACTACACATTGCAGTCCACTTCAACAGCAGAATGTCGTCCGTGTATCGCTGGCCTAACAGTACAGAGCCAAAACTACCACTTTCTGCATCACGTTGCAGAAACATCAACCACTGTTACTACTAGCGATGCAAACCAACATTTGTGTGTGTAGTGTTGCGCTCTCTCAAAAACGATCATTCTTGGATTAACCTTCTTCAGGACTAAAAATTCTGAACAATAGATGTTGGGAAAATGATAAATCAAAGAATGAATGATGCAAGTTTTATTTCTGTAGTTTAAGTAGGATTTGTTCAGGAACCATAGAAATTGAACGATGGATTTGGGAAAGCAATACATCCAGGAATGATAGATCGCTGTATTATATTGTCACGTATCGCGGGGTATATCGCGACAAATAACTTCTCGATGTATTCGATGTAGCGAATTTTATTTCACACTCGCTCTTACAATCACCCAAATTACAATCTGACGATTACTGCTATCTGCAGTATCACAATTAGTACACTCCAAATGCCACAATACAACTGACTGGCTGACTCTACGTCTTGACACGGCGGCTGTCACAGTACAACTCAGTACAACTCTGCGGTAGCCACACTAGAACTCGGCGACTGTTACTTTATAACTCAGTACAACTCTGCGGTAGCCACACTAGAACTCGGCGACTGTTACTTTATAACTGACTGTGAATAGCCTTCGCTGCTCCCTATGTAGCCTCGATCGGACAATACGGGAAAACGGCCACGTAATAGGCACCCTTTTTGCTAGCCACGCTGTCCGGTTATGTCACTGCTGTTGATTCGCCTTGCACAGTTATCCGGTTACGGGGCTCGGCTCTCTTCGGCTCCGCTCGTGACGTCACCGCGCATGGCTGCCAGGATGCGGGGTGATTACTCGCCTATTCCGCGAGCGTTACGTTACCGCTGCGGGGTGGGAGGGGTCAACATGTCACAATATGTAAGTTTGGAAGGTGTGAACATGCCTTTTGCTTATGGCAGGGACCCATAATGGGCTCATGTAGACGTGATATCAAACCCTCCAGTACTATAGAAGGCAGAGAAATGCTGCACTTGCTGAATGACTATTAGCTTTTGTTGAAGGATATTGTTCCAAGGGAGGTAGTAGTCTGTTGATCAGTCCGTCAGTCAGGGAGCACGTGAAGGAGTTTGGTCAGTTGGTTGCTCAGGAAATATTTTGTTGTGAAGAAGAAAATTTTAACAAAACAGCTGTTACCAGTCTGATTCAGTGTAAACTATTGGTAATGAAAGGGTATCCTATTGCATGTAATCTGTCGTTGAGAGACCATAGATATGATTCATAAGGGTGCAGTGATTTTTACAGATCTGTACTATCTTAATGAAAGATGTACCGGGTCCATCCAGTGAGACGTGTAATTGGGCCATGAGTGTAAAAGTTGAAGAGGAGGATCCTTTGGCGATACCATTTCCTTCAGTAAAGACTGAACCTGGGGTGAGTTTGTGTGTCAGACACATTTCACTTATACAGTAAAACTTGGTTATAGCAACATCGGTTTCTGCGACACCTTGTCTATTGCGTCAAATATTCAATGGTACGAACTAATTCCTTATAAAGCAACTGTTTTTATACCTTGCTTAGTACGACATGCACAAATGCATCAACCTCGTATGTAACGTCATTTTCATTCCTGAATTTCTCTGATATGGACATTGAACGTAATTTAGAAAGTGTGTATTGGGCAAGTAACAGGAAACAGATGAAGATAACTGATTACTGTACTCGTATCTAGGTACAGTAAGGCACAACAATTGATGTAATCTACTGTAATTTGGTGAGTAGGCCTACCTTTAATATACAGTATTAGTGCGGTGTGTATTGTCAGTGAAAAGCGCTGTAATATGTCTTTGATATTACACATTTGGGCAATTCCACGTTAATGTTACGTTAGTCTGTACTTAACTACGTATTTCACTAAAAAATGCAACATTTTAACTCGGTTTTTGGTAGATTTTTACGTGACTAACATAAGGCTACTGTGGAAGTGCCCATTTTGGTTACGACGACATTCGTTTATAACGACACTATTTTTAGGTCCCTTTGATGACGTTATAACCAAGTTCTACTGTATATGCATAACTGTATTGGTTTTCTGGACTCTGTCTCTCTGTCGTCACATGAAACAACTCCTTTCAGGTAAATTTTCTCTGTCATTTCCAAAATGTCTGGAAGGGGAGTTCATTCTGTTGCACACTGCCTGCATTTTTCCATAAGGCAGTGTTAAGAAATACGAATCAATACAGTGAGAAGACAGAAAGATGTTTCATAAAAGTGTTAAAATCACAGAAGCCTTCCACAGTTGTTTGCGCATCCTTTCCAGTGAACGTTTTTTGTGACACTGCATTGTGCCATGACATTCATTGTATTTCCAGGATCAGAGTCTGAAGGTTGCTATTTACTGTATATCTCATGCAACTGTGGTGCACACTGTATCCAGACAGGAGATGTGTGTCTCCATTTCCATTAGGATCTCTAATAGGATAAGTGATGATGATTCTTCAAAGTTTTGTGAAGGAGGTTAACATTCATTATGCAGATAAATTGGATGTTGTCAACTGTTGGAAATAATGCTTGCTACTCGTACCATTCAGTCCAGAAATTTGTCTTCTCATCTGATGTCTTAAAAGCATAAGAATTAGAGTATACAAAACTATAATTTTGCCTTTGGTTTTGTATGGTTGTGAAACTTGGCCTCTGACATTAAGAGAGGAGCACAGACTGAGGGTGTTTGAGAACAGGCTGCTGAGGAGAGTATTCGTGTCGAAGTTGGACAGAGTGATAGGTAGTTCAAGAGAACTACATAATGAGAAGCTTTATAACTCGTACCCTTTGCCAAGTGTAATTAGAATGATCAATTGAAGAAGAATGAGGTGGACAGGATGTGTAGCATGCATGGGGGAGAAGTGGAATGCATATAGGGTTTTGGTGGGAAAGGCAGAAGGAAAGATACCACTGTGGAGACGTAGACGTAGGTGGGAGGATAACACTAAAATGGATCATAGAGAGACAGGATGGGGCAGTATGGAATCAATTGATATGGCTCAGGACAGGGCCTAGTGGAAGGCTCTTGTGTACATGGTAATGAACCTTCGGGTTCCATAAAATGTTCGGAGATTCTTGAGTAGCTCAGTGACTGATGGTTTCTCAGAAGGTCTCAACTCCATGTAGTTAATTAGGTAGTTATACATTTCAGAAGTTGATAAATGGTTGTCATTATACTGAGGGAATTTTTATTGTTCTATCTTTCAAGGTTAATGGTAATGGCAGTAATCCAACCTGGGCTAGCCTAGTAAACTGTGTGCGCTGTGGGAGGCGGTTTGGTCCGTAGTTGTACAAAGAGATAAACTGAGATATCAGGCAACAGTTGGCTGAATGTTCGGATGTAAATGATTTAGAAGAACGTTTATTTCTGTATGACCAGTGGATTCAAAGTCCTCAGAAGGTTTCTGAACATGTCATTCATTTTTGTACCCTAGGCAGTTTCTCCTCACTAAGCATCTCCACAAAAGTAGTGGCACTATTGTTAAGGTAACCTGAGTTGCCAGATTGTGTTCACTTTGTATTTTGTGTATGATGGTTTCTTTAGCACTCAGAAAGCTGATGTGGTTTTTGCTATTTTTTATCATTTTCCACAAGGCAGAAAAGAATTCTGAATAAAGACAGGAAATAAATGAAAGTAGATTCTGATGTGGGGCACTTTGAATTATGTTTACACAAATTATGGACACAGAGATATTATTAATATTGTAATGTGTTTTGTCTACTGTTGACACCATTCAGATTGTTAATTGGTTTTATTAACAACCTGCAAGTCGTAACTACAATTAATTATAACACTGTTGTGGGTTTACACAATTTACAAACCCTACACACTAATCTATTCACTCTATCTTCAGTAGTCTTCACTTATTTAAACCTCCTCAGTTATCACAAACTATCACTGATCACACATAAGATCTTCTAATCACGCATTCGGTTCTTCCCACTGCTGCTATACTTCAGCTGTCTTCAGCGGTTGCTACATTTCAACTGACTCCTTAAGCATTCCAGTTTCTCTTATAAACCGTCAATTGGACAGGTGGAAAATGCAGCTTGCTTCACTGTTGCGCGACCACCGTGATTACAGAGGCATTGCTTGGCAACGCTGCCCAGAGTGTTTACTGCTGCATAGCAACCAGCGCGGCTCGGCTCGGCTCAGTACAGCATGGAGAAACAACACTGTTGCGTAACTTTGCAACCTACCGTTTATCAACAGCCTGTCTTCATGGTAACTTGTTCCGCATCCTGTTGCCCAACAGTTTGTCTTCCATTCTTCTGATTCTAAAATGACTTCTCTGTAGGTGTGTATAGGGATATGCACAGGTATGGAATTCTAGGAACTTGATTATTGATTTTATTGATAGCCCATTGTTTAAAGTTTTCCTTTTCTTAAGTATTATGCTAATAATATTTCCTTTCCTTGACCAGAGTAATGTGAATGAACAACTTATACACGGTACCGAGTCATTAGCTCATCAAACTACTGTGAAGAATCACCAGAGAACACAATGTGGCGCGTGTCCATATTCCTGTAATGTGTGTAACAAGTCATTCAATAATAAGAAAACCCTGAAGGTACACAGACACATACATAGTGAGATGTGGCCATTTTCCTGTGGTGTGTGTAAGATGTTATTCAGACAGGAGGATGATCTGAAGGTACATCAGTGCATCCCTACTTCAGCACAGCCATTTTCTTGTGAACCATGTAATAAATCATTCAGATTCCTTAGTGATCTGAAGAGACATGAACGCACACATACTGGGGAACGACCGTTTCCGTGTGATGTGTGTAATAAATCATTTACCCATAGCGATGTTTTGAAGACTCATCATCGTGTCCATACTGGTGAGCGGCCATTTGTGTGTGATGTTTGTATGAAGTCGTTCAGTACACAAAGTATGCGGAAGAATCATCAACGTGTACATAGTGAGGAGAGACCTTATGCATGTGGTTTGTGTAATAAATCGTTCAAGAGTGGCGGTAGTAAGAAAAAACATCAAGAAGTTCATAAGTGGGAGCATCATGTTGGTTATGATGTTTTGGAAGGTAGTGACATCCTTAAAAAATAAATAAATGATTACTTTTATTTGTCAATATAGTTTAATAGAACTTGATGAATCAGTGATGAATGTGCTCATAGCTCGCAGGAGCAGATGTTTATCTGCTTCTCTACATTGCTTCAGAACTGATCTGACAATATTTGGAATGCAACAGGTACTGAGGGCAAAATATCAAAATAAACTGCACTTGCAGCAATATTTGTTTCTCCTTTGTATCCTGTTGGCACCCATCCTTATATCTGGGCACTTCACTGCTGAGGCCATGTCACTGTTGTCTTGAGGTTACAGACTTGGGCAAAGTTCAGTGCTTGCAGTTCACAGGTTACTTAGATTGGTGTGTAACATATTTATATGACTGCCTCTTAATACCCACAATGTGAACAAGGCAGCCAGAGAAATAACATTAATCTGACAAAACACGCAAAAAAGAAAGTTGCCGTATAATTGTGCAGTCCTTGGAGGTCCAGACCCACCTGTGCTGCATCACTCAGAATGGAGCTTCCAGTGACGTTTAATAATATTCAAACTGCCATGTATAGGATGAATGTATGGAAGAGCTAAGTGTGTCCATTTCGAGTTTGATGTTCTTGCAGCTGTGACTACAAAACATAGGTGTGGTTACTGCTCTTAGTTGTTTGCTTTGCATATTCTTAAAACCTGAAGATTGACACAGTAGGGGAGATTGTTGATTCATGGGACATTTTCCCCCATTTTCTTGTACAGTGCAAAAAATACTGATTTTCAGAATCTAAATATATTATCTGAGAACATAATCTTTATAATATTATATCTCAGCATCCTGTTGCACTCTACATGATAAATGATACATGATAAATGATAATATATATATTATATATAATATAATAATACGAATATTTGTATATTATAGATAACACCTGTACAGTGTGGAA